AATATGTAAGACATAAAATATATAAGTTTAGTATTTCTTAAGAGTATATAACTAAATTAAAAGATTTGGCAAATCAACTGCCACGCATAATTTTCTCGTTTAATGTAATTTTGTTATTTATTTAAAAGGACTTTCATGTAAATGATTTTTTATATCTTTCAGGCCTTTGCAGAAAATGGCAATGTTCCTAATGTTATCATTGCAGTACGTAAATTGGATATTCTTATCAAGCAAAACATTGAGAATGCATTTGACTTTCCATGCAATAGTTTACATTTTGCACAAATACATGATCCAAATTTTCAAATTATTAAGCACCAGAAATACCTCAATATGAATGATAAATATGCCCTAAATAAATATGCTAGGTTGAAGCTATGGAAACCAGTCATAACCGCCGGTGGTGAAATTGCAACTTATAGATACATTTTGTGCAGAAAAACGTGCTATGCTTATTCACAATGCTCAGATATAACAGCGTGTAATTTTGCTGCCTGAAATTGCATGAATTTGCTCTCTCTTTTCCTATGTCACTAGCATTCCATCAATCCCAGCTATTTTCTTTCATTTGCAACCCCTTCCATCCCTTCCATTTTTTCTGTTTTGCAACGTCAATTTTTAAATATCCAGTGCATTTTTGTAGTCATCCAAGCCTGAAGTATTGACTATATTTCATGTTTGCTTTTTAAAGGGACCACCAGGGACTGGAAAGACGACTAGCATTCTCTGCTTAGCCCGAGCATTGCTTGGTACATCATATAAAGATGCTGTCTTGGAACTGAATGCTTCAAATGATAGGTAGACGCTAGAGTTGTCTGTTCTACTCAATTCGTATTTGATTTGTAGCAAAAATGCTTTCCTGGGACAAACTTAAAGTTTCTATATGATTTCTACACTTAAAGTTTCTACACATACCTGTCAAGTTTTGAATTCGGTGATTTTCAAGTCTTACGTCATGATTTTTTTCTACTTTCGATTTTTTATTATGTTTTTTTAAACAATATGAAATATTGGAACGCGCTTTATTCAAATTCACGAGTGCATTCTAGCTAACTGGTGAGGTAATTCTGTGTATTCCGATAAGGTGTTGAATCTTGAAACTGAAAGACCGTCCTTCGTCATTTTCATTTTTTTTAAAATCACTCTAAATAGGTTTGAGTTTCAATTGGTGGTGGATCCTCCAGTGAATTTTGTAAACTGTACTGCTGTTTATTATTCTGTGTTCATACTAAGTCGTTTATTTTTGTTATTTTTATTAAATTGTCATTCAAATATATAATGAATGACAAAAAGTACGGTTGTAAAGATTGTAAGGCCTCGCGTTGCATTCTAGTAATGCCCAGATTTTGGAATGTTTCCTTGTCTGTGTTAAATATGATTGAAGTGAATATTTCGGCTTATTTAAAGCCAATTATTCGACGAAACGAAACGAAACGAAACGAAAGGAAACGAAACGAAACGAAACGAAACGAAACGAAACGAAACGGAACGAAACGAAACGAAACGAAACGAAACGAAACGAAACGAAACGAAACGAGTTCGGGTAATATACAGAGTCTTATAAAGTGAATTCAGTCCCATAAACCAAGCTCTGAAAATTTTTATCTTTCAACCAAAATGTAGACTGCCTCAACATATGGAAGTGGCACAGTGCTGTGTCATTATTGCTAGACAACCATTCACATATCAAAGCTATTAAAATTAAGTAACATCTGCGTCATGGAGTATCCCAGATAGTTAGTCTATTCACTTATAACTGCAATATTTGCACAATAAAAACATAGATAAATGCAAGAGTCAGATATGAACTGTCAAGTTTCATATATCACCCAATCGAGTCATTCAAGTGAATTTAGTATTGTAAAGGGACACAGGAAATCATTCCATTGTGAAATGGCATATGAAGAAAACTAAATATTCTGGCCACATGACTCAGTGGTTCACCTTGAGCTTTTTCCATGTGCCCACCATGTTTACTGTTTTTTCCCAATCAATATTTTCTCATTGTATTTAATATTGTACGTAACTGCTGTTTTTGTTAAAAAAGAATTTGAGTTTGGGTTTGAGTCAGAATGTTGTTTGTTTTTTCTCCTTAGTACGTAGAACTCCTTTGGTTTGTAACGAATCTGTGTAACTGCGAGTCTCTTTAATTGTTTTACCCTTGCTTGACAAGTTTTTTGCTATGATTTGCTATAATTTTGCAGTCCATAACCAGCATTGTTCTGTTTTCACAGAGGGATTGATGTGGTACGAAATAAAATAAAGATGTTCGCACAACAGAAAGTGACACTGCCAAAAGGAAGACACAAGATCATTATTTTAGATGAGGCTGATAGGTAGGCGCAGTTTATGTTTGTGTGTTTCCTTCTGCAAGAAATATTTAATGATCTTTGATCTTTAAAAAATGTGTGAAATAAGATAAACTAAAGATTTTGAGATACTTGTAGCTTAAGCAAGCAAATTGGAGTTTTGATCTTTTTAATTTCGATTGCTTTCACGATGAAAATTATTTGCTTGCTTACAGAAATAAACTAATTTCTTTTTAATCTTTGTTTTAATGCATGATATTGCGATCAAGAAACTTTTGTCTACGTATATGGTAAATAACCTAGACCCAATGTTTTTCGTTGCATTTGGTCGCGAATTAAGTTGGCTAAGTCATTAGCACACTTAATGAAGATCCATTTTTTTGCGGTACAGAATTTGAAAATGGCTTTGAAAAAAGCAAATATTTTACAACATACTAAAAGCTTTTTCGTCTGACACTCCTCGGAGCATAAAACGTCAGAATCAGGCAGTTTTGGGGTCGATCTACATACAAACGGAAAGCCGCCATTGTGTATGTAACGTGTGCATGTGTGCATGTGATGTCATGTTCGAAGGCACATCTGTAGAATCATGAGTTTTCTAATGGTGTCATTAGGCAATGCTAGTTAATGACGTATTGCTTGTGCTCGTCATGTGATGACATGTCACGTTTATCAATAAATTGGAAAACCGTGATTGTTCGAGGATTAGAGAATCGGAATATGCACTAGAGACACGTCTGTTTCTGTTGTCCGTTCTGCCCGGTCATAACAAATTGGTGACAGAGGTAAAAGCAATGGCGAGTAGCATTTTGCCGGAAAAGTTTGATTCTGGTGATTTCCCGAATTGGCTTCGCCAATTTAATTGTTGTGCCTCCGCTAATGGCTGGACAGACGACCAAAAGTTGCAAAAGCTGCCGGCATTTTTGCGAGGGTTGGCGGCTACGTATTTTCATACATTATCCGATGATGAAAAAGATACGTTTGCACATTTAGCAACCAGTCTCCAGACTGCCTTGTGTCCTGCTGTCGGACGAGAAGGCTATTTTCGAGAATTTGAAGATCGTGTTTTGCGTAGTGGTGAGGATCCTAGTGTGTTTCTGTGGTCTCTTCAGGAATTGCTGAAAAAGGCGGATCCGACTTTGGAAAAAGCTGCCACTTCTGCCTTGTTATCCCGACAATTTATGAAGGGACTTCCCAATACCATTCGTTATAAACTTCTTGAACATAACCCGACCCCGAAGTTGGATGATATGCTCTCCTTTTCCAAACAGTTTCTGGCGATAAGTGACAATCATGGACCTCACCCTGGTTTGTTTGCAGCCACAGATGTCGTCTCTTCACCGACATCTATTGAGGGACGGCTGGACAAGCTAACAGCTGCAGTAGAGGAGCTGAAAATGAACAATAGTTTGTACGTAGCCACTGTTCAAAAAAAAGAACCGACCTCCCAATTTGCTGGACGTCAACAGCCAGTACGCCGTGTGACATGTTACTTTTGTTCTAAAGAGGGTCACATAGCAAGAAATTGCCCCCTAAAACGCACAAGCAGGGAACAAGGACCCATTGATGGTTCGTTCAAATGCCAGATGTGCAATGGCTCGGGACATATTGCTTCGCAATGTGCGAATAACTGGGTTGTTGACAATCCGAATACTAAGGAAGGTAATCGTGTTGCTAATGTAAAAAATATTCCGAACCGATTTGTGTCGACTTTAAACTCCAAAGGGGTGGCCCAATAGAATGCTGGGATGGTCACCCCGGATTATATATAATTGGAGACAGTACTGTTTGTAGTAATCAACAGTCTATCCAGTCTCTTACCCAGCCCTTTGTTAAGTGTTTGTTAAATGGGTTGCAGGTCGAAGCTTTAATTGATACTGGATCTGCAAAGTCCTTTTTGAGTAAATCTGTTTATGCTGCTATTGTAGAACAAAAGTTAAACAAGCTTGAGGGGGGAGATGTAGGAACTTTCAGCAGTACTGCCTCCGATCGGTGCATTTCCGTGACAGGTCAAGCCCTGCATATAACAGGAGTTTTCGAGGGTAGTGTTACTTTACATGACAGTAGTGTTTCTTACTTTCATCGATTTGTTGTTTGCGATAATATATTATCACCGTTGCAATGTATTTTGGGTTGGGATTTTATTCAAGCAAATCGATTGCAACTAGTTAATGATGGAAGAATTTATTATTTATCTGGTCCACATGGAAATTTACCCTTAACCCCTGTTTATGAAAACAGTAAAGGGTCTTCCGAAACTTTATTTCAGTCATCTA